AATTTCAATTTTGTAGCAACCGTCCAAATGTACTTTTGGGATGTGCATGCACCACACCACAAGGCAGTCAATGCTATATGTATGTATGTATCTCTACTCCTAATGGACGAGTTGATTGAATAGTCCCATCACTTTCGCCTGGTTTATTTTTTTTTCCGTCTCACATCCCACCATCATATCTCCTCACGTTGGTTTTTTTATCCTCACAATGAAAACTTTCCTAACCTTTTTAAAATTTCCTAACTAGACATGTTACAAACGGGCAAGAAACAATAGCACGTTACCAATCAATAAAATTCAGTAATTCTAAATCATAACTTTCCTAATGCATTGATCTTTGCCTTTTTGTCTCTAATCTCTTCTTCTCTACTCCTAAAAGGGGCAGTTCCTTCCTTTTCACCTCCACGATCGAAGAAACAATCCCCGATTCCCCGATCGAAGGAAATCATCCCTCCATAGATTTTATTTATCCTTTCTTGGAATGAGATCGATCTGCGGGTCATGATTGTTTAGCGATTCTTTCCAACTGTGTACCACCCCTCTCCTTCCTTCTTGCACAAATCATATCTCTTTGTCTCCCTCCTCTCACGTATATCTATCGATCCAATCTGCTCCTTCCCCTCCCTGCTTCTCATCGATCCTCTTCCGGCTGGTCTCCGTTCCGCCTTCCCTTTTCCTCCATGTTGTTGTTGTTGTTGTTGTTGTTTCTCAACTCTCCTTGTAATTAAACTGGTTATATATTAGCTTCATTACCTCCTTTCTGAAAATGATTGTAATACTATTCAATTCATTTCCTACAAAGACAGGAGTTAGAAAATGATATGTGGAGCTCCATTTTTAATCCGCTGCTTTATCTTGTTTTCATGAAATTAAGAGGCAACTTTATATTTATCCTGGCTAGGTTGGTTTATTCAGTTGCTAAAACGAGAATGTACAACTTAGTTATTTTTCTAGATGGCTAGAAAATAGTGGTATCAATAAATCTTATTAGGAATTTCCATCATACTTAATAGACGTACAAATAGTTTGATTTTTTTGTGAAGTACACATTGTTTCCAATGTTTGGATTACTGCCCGTAGATGGGGGGCCTACCCGTTGGTCTTGGAGAAAAAACGAGACATTCTTAACTACTCTTTTTGTAGAACTAATTTGTGCCAATCTTTCATTTTTAAACGGAATGCATAACACATTTGTTAATTTTCTAATGTGGCCATTCATGTTTTTATAGGTTTTTTCCTACCTCTTGTAGACCTTCACTTTATGCTAGCTATTTTTATTTTTCTTCTTCTCCTTCCCTGGTCTATGTTTTCTACTCCTCTCTGACGCAATATGGAGGATGTTGGTTTCAAACGCTAGCAGGGCAGCCAGTGCTGAAGTATTTTATACTCCTCTCTAACGCAATATGGAGGATGTTGGTTTTAAACGCTAGCAGGGCAGCCAGTGCTCAAGCAATCAGTGGTTTAGTTAGGTAAATATAACAGAAATATAAGGTGTTAAGTAGGTGCATTAATTGTTCTACTTCCACATATTCTTTTCCCTTGATTATACGACCATATACAGAATCTCGGGGGTTGTGCCCCAGGGGTAGATAATAGATTCTTATGACACGTTATTACTTACAAGTTGCTAAGGTACTAAATTTTATGATAAGGAGTCCTGTTTATTCAGGTTATGCAAATTGTCAGAAGATTCTGTATTTTGTAGATTCTGGGACCTTGCTTATCCTTTCTCAGG